GGGCACACACACTGACAAGCTATTAGCAATTTAGTCGCACTTCTATGAGCTGCAGAAGGAATCTGGAGGAACTCAGACAAAGAGCAGAGGTGGAATTTGAAGCCTGGAGGTGCCAAATTAGGTGAGTTACTGCTCGTCAACATGCTCAAAAATTAACCTATATCTGTGTACGTTAATGAGCTGCTTGGGAATGGAACCACAGTGACAAGTGTAGGCTGTGCTTGAATAGCAGGACTGCTGGAAACAAAGCAGAACAAAAAAAATCCTCAGCTAATATCCACTGGTTGATGTCGCCATCAATCATCATACTGGAAAGACTTGTGTGTTTTGCAAACAAAAGTACCTACAGCATTCCAAAGTCTAATCCTGACAAAGGCAACCTGCCCGGCAGAGAGACGCCCGTCTGAGCGGGCTGAACACACTGTTCACATGTTCACTTCTTTTTCCTTCGGTTGCTCAAACAGACACATTACACAACGAGTCAGATGGCACATAAACCTATAAACGGATTGTTTTTCCTCCCTGCCCCCACCTTTAAACTCAATATGACCACTTTGAAGTGTTTTAACCCCAATTTGGAGAAAAAAATAAAAAAAAATACAGGAAGTTCACAGTCCCTAAAGAGAATCACACTCAGCCAATTTGCGTGCCTGAAGTCCAGGCAAAAAAAAAGACACTGATCTGAAATCAACGCATCGGAGTCAGTCACTCTTGTCTAAAAGACCCAAGAGTGGTCTTCGCATGACTGCTGTGTCCTTCACCAAACTCGGGATTCGGTAGGGAGGGGGTCCGTCACCGATACCCAGCGCCCACCCCCAGTGGACATATTAAACCCCCAGCAGTAACCCCTAAAAATGGCCGTCAGGCTGGCCCCCGACAAGAGGCACTAAGAGAAGAAAAACAGAGGTTTCTCCAGCTGGATTCAAGGCAGAATGGAGACAATCACCCACACGAGCAGCTGACGCGACCCACAAACGTGCGCTACCTTAGCATGTAGCCACCGTGATTCCTCACAGACAGTACGCTTGATAAGAGAGCGAAGCCTGTCAAGTCAGTAAAGCAGGCATGCACTAGACAATGGGCTATGGTCCAGATGCCACATTGCTTGATAGACACTGACAGTAACCTTCTCTCTCAGCAATCTGCGTGCCGGTTCCACTTCAGAGCAAACTAATGCGTGGCCTTCGTTTAACCTCACCTTGGTCGTTCTGCAACCTCTCAAAAAAAAAAAAAAAAAAAAAGCAGCTTCTATTCTTCTGCTTCTTCTGGCCAAAATATGTCCGAACCAGGAGTCACTGCACATACCAAGTGATCGTCCCCAAACTCAGGAACATCGCCTCCTTTTTATCCAGCAGCACAGACCGGTGGAGGACGAGACACCAAAAGCAGATTCGCAGGGGCCTCTATGACTCTGCCATTAGCTTGCACTGCTCCAGAGTCCTGCCCTCCTGCACGCAGAGAAACCACCCCCCCCCCACACACCCCCACCAGCCTGTGCGGGATATTAATGTGGGGAAGGCACACAGGACGGGCTCCTGTTGCAGCACATGAACACACACCCCTTCAGCGTTGTATAACAGTAAAACTAAATACTGCTCTTTATTGGTCCTTGTCTGAAAGGCCTGCCATAACTCACCTTCATGAAACACGAAGTATGGTTTTGCACATGCTTCCTAATCTCACAATTATTATTATCATTATATATATTATCATTCATATCAATATTATTATTAACAACAGCAATTTACCGATAATATTCTTTGTTTTAAACCTTTAAATATTTGTATTGCTTACTTGATGCTTTTATCTAAATTCTTTACCAATTTATCCGACAGTATATTTTACTGAACATTCGTCCCATGCACCACAGCGCCCGTTGCCCTGACTTCACTCACACACCTGACTGAATACAGCCATTCGAGTAATTCACTTCCCATGATCATCGTTATTTTTGGACGAGTTGTGCAGTCTCCGCGAGAAATAAGAAATACGTACATAACCCCGGATTAGGGTGTTGCGACACTGTCTGCTCTGCTGTTTTATTCAATTTAATTTAATGATAAAAAAAATCATTAGCGCAGACAGTCGCATGAGCCTCGCATCTCTATAGTAACGTGCGTTTAAACGACATTGACTGATCGCGCATTTTTAACCGGCTGACAGACAAGGCCTGGAGTTAAAGGCTGGGCATCATGCCTGCAAGGTCACCAACAGCTAGTATAAGCGAACGATTGCTGCTGAATATACCGACAGTCGGTGAAACTGAAAACGTTAAATGTTTGGGTTTGTTTGTAAGCGGCTGATGAAAGAAAACAGGCTCGGATTTAGCTGCCCTGTGCGGCCCTTAGGTACAAGCCGGGACCAAACCGACCGGCCAAAGGCGACACGGCACGGCCCGACCAGGCAGAATAGCCCTGTGGTATTTATACAGCAGGAACGGCCTTATCCATTACCCACTGGATATATTCAACAACGGTGCACCTATCCGTTTCCTTACTATTTAGACTATACACGGGTCCATGTTCTAAACATGCAGCAGCCACACCTAACAACGCCGCAAGTTGTATTCGTCACATACAAATACAACGACGAGAAACATCAACCCCCAGTTAAATTACCTAGTCGTAAATTGATAAGGTGCTTGTTAACTGTAATCCAAGCGTAAATCATAATGCACATTCAAAGTGCGCAACTACGCATGCTGACATCAACCTAATACTTAGTAAACTGCTGCGGCAATTAGCAGCAATGGCTCGCTGCTATGTACAAAGATGGGAAGATGACACATTACAGAAACTTACCTGAAGGGATGAGGTTCCGATCATACGTTCTGCATCTTGTCTCCCGATCTGCACTAAAAACGCGAAGCCCGATTAACGCAATTCGGCATTAAGGCACTTAACGTGATTAGCGACTTTGCCGCGGTAAGAGGAATCAAGCAGCGTGCTTGGCGGTGCTGTAAAGTACGAAAGCGCAACCTGTCAGCGAGAAACGGTTTGAATAAATAAGGCACCTTTAAAATGAGGTACAGGTTCCAAAGTAAGTACTGATAATGAAATAAATTACAAAACGATACACGATTACTTTCTCCTAACAATTACTTGTACACGATTACTTTCTCCTAACAACAGCTGACAAGTACAACCACCTACTTCACCTTCATCACGTCATCTTCAAAGCGACGAGCTACGCCATCTCAGAGCACCGAGATTCTTCTTCGTGGGATTCCCACAAACGGTTTGTCATAAATTTGAATGTCCTTTAGCCCCATCTAGTGTACTGGAGTATCCAAGCGGTCCGATTAGAGAACTCAACAGAAATTACACTTTAATCTAGGCATATGATCAGGGTCGTCTCTAGAGATTTTGGGCCCCATGAAACATGTTATATTGGGCCCACGACCCAGACCAATCACATTATGTTCCAAAATTGTTATGGCCCCTTGGAATTGTCCTAACATTCCCCTCCCTCATAGTGCATCTGCGAATAATACTGAAAAATCATCATGACTGGATTGAGAGTACAACACCATTTTCCCTATTCCCTTCAGTTTGGTAGCTTCTGCTAGGCATAATTACAATACAGTATTACACGAATACTACACTACACAACTATAGACTTGAAGCCAAAACATCCTCTATGAGTTATTAAAAATCATCAGTGTTATTTCATATTTTAAAATACAACATAACCACCCGGCCCTCAGCAAACACTGTTGCAGCATGTCCCCCCTGCACCCCACGCTTCAGAGAACACATCTTCATTCCGTAGGCAGTTAAGACTGCAAAGACCCCCTAACACTAAACCCAGTAGATACCTCTCAACCCTGCACTGCTGCTTTTACCGCAACTTTTACTAATTTGCTGAGAATAAAGTGGGATTTTTGTTGCGCAGTCTCTCTCACTGTTATAAATAGCAAAAATTGCAAATTCTCAGATCACACAGTGTTGCACTGGTTTTCTAGTTCACCGTCGCTGTAGTGTTTGAACAATTTAATTATGTTGTGCCATTGTGCTGCATTATCTCGACATTGCATCACTGTCTTATTGACTACAGCACTGTTTAGTTCTGTATTGCAATCCCCCGGCCACACTGTTATGGTGGGAGAGAGAGTAGCACAAGGATTCCATTGTATTCTCAGCAAGTTACTGGAAAAGTTACATTTAGACATTACTGTACAGAGATTATTAGAACAAAAATGAAGGCATGACAGAAATACTGAAGCTTTGCAAATAAACAAGATAAAACACAGATAGTTTGTTTGGTTTTATTGACATTTGGCCAGAATGAAGATCATTTAGAAGTTCATTTATGGACAATATGGCGATTCTGCTGTCATTAGGTGAACTTGTACAAATGTAAAGCTGTCTGTTGTAAACTTTAAAAAAATTAAAATACTTTCAACATCTTGCACTTAAATGAACTATTATTAGTTTGCATAGCTGGAAATTTTATCAGTCATAAAAGGAACCTATCCTGTTTTCAACATGAAAAATAGGAGTGTTCATTCATTGTACAGCTGTTAGTCAATTTGAACATGTCTTTAAATTCTTGCATGTTTTAAATACAAGTTCCTCACCTTTAATGCTCAACAAATAAATATTACGAGCCAAAATGAAATTTTATAATCATCATCATCTTCAAGTGAGCTACACAATGTCTATGAGATCCTACACAACCATTACTGGCAAGTAACACCACACTATAACAAGTCTGACACAAAAAAAATACAGTGGAACAGAATTTAAGCTGCAATATTTGTCGTAACATTGTGTAAGGAAATGGATTCTGTCCTTACAAGATGCCCAGATTTGCTCAGCAGAAGAGGATTTCTTTATCATTTTACCCGCTTCAAGTCTTTGGGACAGCGCTATGAGGCGGAGTTTGGCATCGTAACGTGTTTCCCTGCGTTTACATTAGGAGGCGCCACAGCCAGACGCGCCTTTAAGGGTCGACAAACGACACGGCGATGTAGCGGGTGCCCGCGGTGGTGGGCAGCCCCTCGTGGTAGTGGGTCAGGCGGCCCGGGTGCATCAGCGCCCAGCCCTTACGCGGCGCCTGGATGGAACAGTCGTAACGCAGGAATCTGCAGCCACCGCCCTGCAATTCGGGAGCAGAAGGGCATCATGTCAGCCTCCCAAATGACAATAACTGTGACAATGTCAAACAGCAAATGACGCCCTCATCATGAAGACTGCTGATCCTTTGAGGACAACGGATGAAATGCCAGTTGTCCAAATGCACAAGAGGTCAGACGGCACCACCCACACTTACCTGGTAATCCAAGCCCATTTGATTGAGAGCGATGTTTATGGTGAAGGTAGAGGCATCGTGGTGTGGCCTCAAGGCCGGCTGCTCATCCGGTTTATACCGGACGACGAACGCCAGGTCAAACTGGGCCTAGGAGGAGAAATGACAAGGCAGGGTGATGCCTGGGAAATGTGGTTTGAAGCCCCGCCCCTGTGCTTGAAGCCCCGCCCCCACGTGACCTACTTAACAGCCAGGAGTAGCCAGTGACTGTGTTATGGGCTATGTGAAGGTGATAGTGAAAGTCTCATGGTGGCTTTGGTCAAGTTTGAGATACTGAATAATTACAATTCATGTAACTGCTAACCTTGCCAGCTAATGCTAACCTTCCCAGGAGCAGGAGACTTACCTTAGTGTAGTACCCAGGGAACATTTTCTCTGTTACAGGAGCTACATAGTCCAACAAGAACTTTTGCCATTCCTTCTCGAAGTTGATCTGATTCATGTGGATGTCAATCGTTGGTACGTTTTCGTAGCCACCTTGGATCCTGGTGTCCTGGACGAGGCGGTAAATATTGCGTCAATATTTTCAAGAAAAGCAGGCAGCTTTACTTTAATGTGTTTTTTTTCTGGAACACCAGAAGACGGCATTACCGTAGAGGAGCCTCCGGACCACTGGCCATAGTGCTCCATCTCTTCGATGAGGTCTCTGCAGGCCACTTCAGTAAAGATGGGGAACCAGTAAACATCCGGGCATGGCTGGAATGGACACATTTCAAAAAGAATTAAGTGTTACGTAGCTAAGAGGGAGTGCAAGCATGCACTTGGACCAGCAGGTGGCGTATTGGTTAAAGGTACAAACTCCTCAGCCTCCAGAGAGGTGGCCAGGCTCTAGTGGCCCTGGACAATCTGAGGCACATCATTAAAATATCCAGCTGTATAAACAGTCAAAACTGGCCAGTTAATAAAGCCGTCAACAAGGAACTCAATGAGAGTTAAACACACTGTTGAACTCCATAAGCGATTCACTCTAAAATGATGATAAAATATGGCATAATTTAAGAAGTTGTTCTTCACATTTAAGGAGTTTAAGTTCTTTCAGGAAAGAAAGTAGAAAATGCAGAAGAGAAAATAACTAATAACAACAACAACAACAACAACAACAAC